AGTGATTCTTCTTGGGGTTTTTTACATTTGGTAAGGACACACGCAGCACTTTCTGGACAGATTGATGTCCTCAATCCGGGGCCGGGTCGTGGGGGCAGCAGCCCAAGCAGAAGACATGGCACGGGAGCCAGGGGAGCGCGCAGGGATTTATTGTTGGATTATTCTTTACCTCACTGTAAATAGACACATTGTTGTGCACAGAGTCCTGCATTTTGGGTCCACCTTCCCCACATCCCTACGGCTTGCACTGGCAAACCGTGACACTGATACTCTCTTTCTGGCCAGACACATGGCGGCACTTCTGCTATAATTTTGTTTGTATTTAACAAAATAAAAACGCTGTGTACACAGTTTTTGACTGATAGTGAAAATTGTTTTTAAAGACCTTAATTTAACATTTCACTCAACAACAAACAAACCCTCCCTAACAAAAAAAGGAACTTCAAAGGCTAAATTACATCATATTTCTTCACGTCAATATACGGGCTGCAAGTAGGGGTGACGTGGGCTACAGGTGGCTTCTCGGACTGTGAGTTTGAGACGCCTGCTCAATTGATAAATTGCAGGATTTAGGTTATAAATACATGTTCATATTTATTTTACAATCAGAAAGAAAGAACAAGAGAAGGGAAAAGTGCAGGACAGACAGAAAGGTGACAGGCTCAGATTGTATAAACTACTACGAAACTGGCATTATATTTCCTGTTTGTGTTATTATTTGTTGTAATAGGGGTACTAAATAGGACGAGAGCTAAATTTAACCACAGTGTGGATAAGTTAGTACACTGGCCAAATGTGTGGCTCATGTGAATAAAATACCATTATGTAACTTAATGAGTGAACTGTCTGCACGTTTCTCCTTAAGACAGGGGTGTGGGAACTCCAGGCCTAAAGGGCCGGTGTCCTGCAGGTTTTAGATGTGTCCTTGCTCTAACACAGCTGATTTAAATGGCTAAATGACCTCCTCAACATGTCTTGAAGTTCTCCAGAGGCTGGTAATGAACTAATCATTTGGTTCAGGTGTGTTGACCCAGGGTGATGTCTAAAACCTGCACAAACCTGATCCATCTAACTTGAGTCCTCTCTTTTCACAAGCTAGAAACAGAGTTTACCCCTCATGTGAAAGAGAAAGTAAAAAGTGAGCTGTTGGAGCTACTATCCATGATGTAAAGACCCATCAGGATATCCAAGATGATGGCCCCAAGTGATCAGCTACTTATTATATCTATAACTGGAAGTTTAGTAGAGGTTGGGGTCTGCCACACCAGGCAGGATGCCCATGAAATAGCACAGCATCTCTCAGCACCGAGTGAGATGTTAGCAGCCCAACTGGTCGCAGCAGATGGCCGCTCCTCCCTGAGCTTGGTTCTGCTTGCTCATAGGGGTTCATATGATTAGTGGGGTTTTCTCTGTTTACTGTGTATTATTGTAGGGTCTTGACCTTGTAATATAAAAAAACCACCTTCAGGCAACTATTGTTGTCATTTGGTGCTATATAAAATTCAATTGAATTGAACTGAAAAAAATGGCTCATAAATAGTTTGTCTAATGTGCGGTTTGGTGTGCATCGTAATTTCCCTTTCATGTATCTTTCTCTCCCTGCTAAAGTATTCTGTTCACTGAAATGTGAAACCCACCTCTCATGGTTTGTAGAACACCCTTCTCTCCTTCTCTGCCGTCTGTCTGTCTTGGCTTCCTGCCTGTTCTCTTACAAACCCTACTTAGGAAATACCTCCCCAGATCTCAAGCAATGCTTCTAAACTCACAACCCACAATAATTAGTTTCAGCTTCACAGCTCCACATAAACTATGCCTCACCCTTTCCACAGACCCTCCCTTACTATAAGTTTTAAGTTTAGTGCCAGGTCAGATTATACTTCTCTGTTGATATATTTTATAATTGTAAATAAACCAAGTGAACACCAGCTCACTGAAGCCGTGGAGAGCAGGCAGACAAGTAATCATGTGGAGTGTAAGAGTCCTTTTCAGGGAAGGTTTTGAGAAAATGGGCACTGCAGGACTCAGGAGACATCAACATGAGGTTCCTGGCACACTTAATGAGTGAGGTAAATGAGGTATGTACAATTCAATTTTATGTTTACAATGCCATACGTTACCTCAATGTGCTATATATTGTCGAGAGAGCTTTAACAATCAAATGACCCACTATGGGCAACTGCTTGGCAGTGGGAAGGAAAAACTCTCCTTTTAACAGGAACAAACCTTTGGCAGAACCAGGGAGGTGCAATGACTGTGGCAATACAGAGTGGTGTATTAATGCATCATGGTAGGCCCCCAGCAGCCTAGGCCTATTGTAGCATAACTAAAGGAGGGTTCAGGGTCACCTGATCCAATCCTAACTACTCTATCAAAAA